TAAGCCCTAAATAAATAAAATTGGCAGGATGAAAAACCTAAGAATTTCTCCTCAAAATTAAAGCCAAACGATAGGATAGACTGGGAAGTCACTGAGGGTTTCCTCTGAATTTATGACATCCCCTTGATCGTTCCAAATTTGAACAATCCATTTTCACACCTCTACGTCTGATCTCATTGAAAAGTCCTACCCTTTGAAACTCCTTGAAGATAATATTTCTTGATTTTTATCGAGAGTCTTCTTAGGTGACTTTGGTCATTTAAGATGTAATTAACTATAGGGGTTTGCTCTTATAGGAAGCATGTCAACAATTCAAATTAATATTCATTACTATGCAATCTCTCTCTCTCTTGACTTACACTCTGTTCCTTGGTTGTAATTCACAAACAAATCAGGATTCTGGGCAAGCAACCATACCTCCTAGTGACAAGTGACTTCTAGATCAAATCTCAATGAACATTATTTTTTTCCTTATATAGAAAAAATAAAGCAATTTCTCGTACACCACCTTTCAAAAAAGTTTATTTAATACTTATTTAGTGATTTTAATCATTAATTTGTTTAAAATTGTACTATATTTCAAAATGATAGTTTATATAAAAATGATGAAGTTCTATTTTCTTATTAGTTCACTATCATGACAAAGAAATTGATTAAACAATTTCTTAATTACTATAAATAAATGATGACTTTATTTCATATTAAATAAATAACTATAAAATTAAGGCAATATTCTAAGTTAAAGTCTTAAATAAATTTAATTTTCTTATCAATTTTATTTTGTAAATAATATCAAGGTGGGGGTGAGGATTGATCTCAATATCTTTAGTTTATAAATCAAATAAATAAAATAAAAATAAGTGCAACTAACTATTAACTTGAAAACCTCAATCATAAAGAATCTTTGAGTCTTTTTTCTAATTAAACATTTATCATTACTTTAAATTAAAATTATAGTTGTAGTTGGTGTTATTGATGACAGTAGTGTCAGCTACATCGATGGTTGTGATAATGTCTAATATAAAGGATGAGAGCTATGATAATATAAGAGCCAACATTAATGTAAAATAGGCAATGTTGGAGTAAAAAAATTTAAATAAGAGGTAATATTAATGATTACAAGAAATGGATAGACAACTATTTTGATTGTATGACTATTAATTTAGTAGATAAAGTTGAAAGGTGTTAATCAAGAAGATGATAATGGGTGATTTGTTCATTATTGTAAAATTTATCAACAATAATGACATTTTTCAGTAGCAATGAATCATGCCAAGCCTTGGAGGATTTGGAACAAAGTTCACCACTTTATTCTTCCAAAATAAATTGGTTTAAGTGGGTCATTGCAATATTTATCAAGAATTTACTTAATAGTTATAAATGTGAGATTGTGGTGATCACATCTTCTCAAATTCAAGTAATAATTAAATGGTTTATGTTTCCCTTTAGTTGAACTAACTAGTTAACCTAAAATAGATTTGAATTTGGTGACTACAATAACCAGACAATGTCAATTAGCTTTAGGTACAACTAGTGATGTATTTAATTCACGATTTAGGTATATTAAAATATATGAGAAGATCTTATCATTATATTGCTGATCTAAGATCAGAAGTTTGATTATCATATGGGCCTTGATGAAAAGTAGTATAATGTATTGCCATCTTTACATAGATTAACTATTTCATCAAGATTGGTGTTTTGAGAGAAACATCTCGTGATAAGATGTAATATCAAAGCATACTAACTTAAAAGAAGTTTAAATATTCTAAAACAAATTGTGAAGTGATAAGGGCATGACAATATAATCAGATTGGTTGAGTCAATGCACTCGAGGTTGATCAAGGTTTTTGTTACATCGGCTGAGTGAAAGGTTGATATTGAGTTAGTGGCATGCAATGTTGACTGGAACTTCAATCATTTCCACGATATTCCAAGTGAACATGTCTCAATGTGTGCAGAGGTTTTAGAACAATAGGTCCATGTGCCCTGCATATAAGTTCTTACTGATTAGAAAAATTTTACCATGCTCATCCTTTCTAGTTGTGGGCACCCAAATGACAGTCTCACTAGTTTCGAGACC